GGAACGCGCTCCGGCGGCGGTGCTGCTCCCAGCACCTTTAGAGCCGCGGTCAGGAGAGCGGTGAAGTTGGTTGTGCGAGGCCGCCATTACCGTGGTGGCACCAAGAGAGCAGGAAAGGCACCTGAAGATATGTTTTAAAACATGAGAGGCACAACTAAAGAACGAAGCTATAGCCTACCCAGGAAACCTGACCGATAACTAGCAGTAACACCCGGCCGTCCTTCCCTGCTCCATAACCCCTCTGAGTTTTGCTGCTCGTTTAAATGGGAGCAGGCCTGCACCACAGTTCTCCGATAGGCTCATCTAGAGCCCTCCTACAGGACAAGCCTTCCCTAAATAGTTATGTATATCTACATGTACACGTATACGTGTGTACGTACACGTTGGGCACAGACGTGTGTTTTTATACACGCATAAATTCCACAAAGTATGTTTAAAATACATAGGCATAGATACACCTATATCTGTATATATACAGTATATATATGTGTGTCTACTTGAACAAGTCTTGTAAAATGTGCTTTTTATATAATGTCAGCAATGAGTAGACTTTCTTACATTGCCTGAAGCATTCCTTTAAAAACTATGGTTCCAAAGACTGGTATAGGCTCTCCTTTATAAACCCTTTCTTACATTTTCTAAGGATAAGTATTAAACTTCTCTGTTACGGCATTTCCTTTGCTAACTGAGATGAATACTCCATTATTTATTTTTTTTCAATACCCAGAACCACCAGCTACTACCATGCTTTCTTCATTTACCAGCCCCCGCTAACTAGCAAAAGTTGGATGATTTTTCTTTGTAACAGAGTAATTCCCCTCTACTCCTTAACACAGAATGTACCTAAGATCATATGTATTAAAATGTATAATTTAATTTGTCCACTTCTTGTGCATTTATCTTTCCATTCCTTTAAAATGCAAGTATTACTTATGCTTAAATATATTTTAACAGTCCATTTGTATAAATATGGTCATAATAATTAAAAATATTTTCCAGAATAAGAAACTTTGTACAGATGTGCAAATGATGCTTGCATAGCCAGTTTATTACTGAGTATGTTGCATCTAGACAACCTTTCTAATGCTTGGACAGCACATCCAAATTACTGCTATATTCTGATGGCTCAAAGAATACACGGAAAATAAATAGAAGACCGAAGTCCATGATGATAGGTATTTAGCAAATTATGGCTAACTGGGGACTCCAAAAGAAAATCATGTGAAAGAAATCAAGCCTTCCAGGTATGTTAGCTCCTTCTTGCCATGCAAAGGCTGGGTAGTTTGGTTGCAATGAGACATAGAAATTGTTCCTGCCTTCCCAGTACATTTTTGCTTAAAAAATCCTTTTGCTCAAGGAAAGAGCATTATTCTTAGACACCAAAACAGTGAAGCAAAGGGAAGATTTCACGTCACGCATTCAAATGAAAACCGAAGGACCTCAGGGGTCAACATAAAAATTCCACAATACAGTGCTTGCTCCCTCACCCCTTGCCGGCATTTTTCTCAGCCCTTTCACCTTTACACTAGTGTGGGTTGGGTGTTAGTCCTAGGAAGGTGCACAGTGAGTCCCAATCATGGGGGACTGAAAGAAGGGGACTTCTATCTGTCCACATCCAGCATAAGTCCACTGTGCATTGCCTTCTCAGTATATAATTGATGAAATCTATTTTGGCCTGGATTCATCAGTTTGCTCTGGTTATTTTGACCTGTGGACAAGACTATTGTATATCAACTACAACTCATCGCATCCCTTAGACAGGTGATCCAACAGGGACAGACAACTCCCCCTGCTGACATCGCCACCACGTCATGGCTAAGAATGTAAATACCACAGCAAGGAAAGTCAACGTGCAGCCGCTGCAGCAAGCAGAACTCAGCCACGCTGCTCAGATAGCTCAACTTAAAGCCTAATGGCATAGAGAATAGTAACTGCTATAGACGTGGAGGGAAGTCAAGGTCTGTTCCTGTATGAAACCTACCACTTCATTACCTAACATATTACACTGAGAGTTGCTTAACTGAAAGAACTTTGTATGAGCAGAAAGTTTGGATTTATTGCTTAATTCTCCATCTTTAGTTATGAAAAAATCTTGGCTGTTTTTAGAGGGCACGTGCCAAATGAGCTGAAATCAATGGAGCTGCTCCAGGGGTGAAGTTGGATCATTGCATGTTGGACTTTCAAAGAAAAACTGCAGAAATCAAAAGACTGCTTGAGGCAGAGACCTCATGCGAGTCATATGAACTGTCATTACAGGCGGAGGGATGAGGAGGAACAAAGGAGAAAAAAAGAAATACATTTTAATTGCAATACATGGGAGACATGCTGTGTGTAAATGCTGTCAGACCAGGATGCTGCAGCTGCTGTTCAGAGAGAAGGGGCTCCCAACATATCCAAGGCCTTCAGCACATGGAAGCAGCGTCTACAGCAGAGGTATTTGATATCACACCGTGATACTTGTGTATTGAAACAGGTTAAGCCTAGGTTCTTCCACTTGTTGTGGGAGTGCAAAACATTCACATTTGCTTCTAACCAGACAGCATCAAACTTTGCAGCTTCAGGCTTGTGAAGCTACTGAAAGAGGACTCCGTGCCTTAGATGACAATAAATGCCTTTGATGTGATGAACAGGGAGAAGATTGCACTCCAGCAAGCTCTGTGCCAATGAGGGATTGTAAAACAGGGAGGGAGCCAACAACCTACAGTTCTGGAGGAGGCAGCATGCCATAGATTACAAATCCTGTTATATTTGAGTCAAATGATAATGCAGGCACCCATCCAACGTAGCTGCTCAGGAGGAGCTTGCAGGCTGCCTGCCATTTATTACCACTATTTTTATAGTTTTATAGTTTATGGCACTGTTATGCTGTATGGGCCAAATTAACAGGCTGTGTAAATTATGCAGTGGTGAGAAAGGCTCAATATGGCGGGGGGGAGGGGCAGGCAGGGGATTAAGGAGGAGAAGAAGGCATAAATTTAAACTTCCTGAAATTTCACTCCCGCATTTGGTTTTTAGTCCCTTCTCTAACAGATTGCTATCTAGAGATGAATAAATCAAGAGTAAGAGAGAATAACATGCATTCAGAATGATACTGGTAGAAGCATCCTCTGCAGTTAAGGTAGTTTTATCTTCATGTGTTCTCAGAGTGAGCGCTAGCATTTGCCACGACAGGAACAGTCAAGGAGAAAGGAAAGAATCATATCAGTAAAATGGTGGTTTACCAGTGATATAGTTTGCCTTCTTTTCCTGTGCCAGCTGTCAGATGTAACCAGAACACCCCTTTCTCTACCTTCACTGTAGCCCCTGCAGCTCCACACCCTCCAGCATTGGAGGTGCAGGACAAAGAGGCCTTGGAGTTCCCCTGATCCTTTCCAGGAGCAGGATGTTGTGGAGATGTTCAAACGGGTGAGTGTGCAGCATCCATAGAGCCAGACGGGAAATATTTCATCCTATGATTATTCCAGCCATGAATCAGTATTTAATTACTGAATGACATGCTAGTAGCTTCTTGTTCTACCCAGCAATCTAAAACACATACCAATTTCTTCATGAAACAGAGACAAGGCATTCCGTTTGGCGCTGCCACATCCTATGTACACATCCTATGTTCACACAGCTTCTCTAGATGAAGCTGTGTGAAGGATCCTGTGCACCTGTGTACAAGGGGATCAGCAAGAGAGCAAGGACCACCGGTGCCATTATTGCCTTCCCAGTGCATGCTGAAAACACCCATTACGGGAATCCATAAGAATGAGCTTGAAGCTGGGGAATTCAGAGTACTTACAGGAAGATAAAGGCAAATCAAAAGTCCAGCTTTGCCTTTAACCAGGATGTTTGCAAAGCCCCATCCCAATTTTTTGGAGAACTCCTCCATTGCAGCCATGGAGGCTCCACAAAGACACTTTGCTCATAACAGACATAAAGAACTTCTTCAAACATCGGTGAAGAGCGAGGGACATCATTCTTGAAGAGCATTTGTTTTAACCTGAAAAAGCTCCATGTGACATCTTCCTAAGTCCTTTCTTGCCTACTCAATATGCCGGCTGTCCTTCTCCCAAAACTCTCAGTTTCTTTCTCCCCTCATGAAGGAGGTCTTTGTGCTGGGCTGGGTGAGCATGTGATGGACGGAGGGGGAACCTGCTGGCCGGTGTATTCCCTCTTGACAGATGCATCCGAGCTTGTGATAAGGGAAGTGCCAGCTGCAACCAGAGCGTGTCCTTTCTAGCAGTGTAGGGCCCTCTTACACCTCCTGCCTACCTGCTCTGTAGTTGCTTTCTCACTCCCACTTCTATACACTAGCACTGCACAGCAGTTTTTGCTGCTTTTGTGTTGAGCAGTTGTGGACTGGAAATGCCCTTTGCACCACGGTCTCTGCTTGCTGTTATCACAAACGGTGCCACTTCCCTGTGTGGTGGCACTGATACCTGGAGCATCACAGATCCCAGCCTGAAGAGAAACGCTTTCAATAAAACTGGTGTTTAATAACATCTATCATTTGAGCCCAGTGAGAAATTCTTTCTGTCAGTTGACTTTGTAGAGCACTGGGCAAAATGTCTGCAGCTTTCTCAATTTCTTTGAGAAAGAAATGCTTTTGTTCAAGTGCTTGTTTTTGGCTGGATGTATTTACATGTCCCTACAGACCAAGTTCACAAACTGCCTGGTTGATTAACGCTTCTATTTTCGTCTGGTCTACAATCCCAAAAGGATCATAATCTGGTTTCTTCCTTACACAGTAATATGCAACCTTTGTGCCAGTCTGTTTTCTGGTATTAGTGAGAGCTATCAATGTAAGAGGTCACACATATTTTGTTTTCTACTTCTTACTGCAGTTCAAGACTAGGGTTGATTTTGTTGTTACTGTGGGGATGGAGTGTCAGGGACCAGATGTGCCAGCTTTCACAGAGTAGCCCAAGCACAGAAGAACTCTCGTATCAGTCAACTCAGAATAATGAGAGAGGTCAGTGGACTCGCTCCATGTTTCTAACTGTAATTAAGATAAGGAAGTTTACAAAGTCCTTAGTCCAATTCTGGGTGAAAGCAGAGAGATACCTAAATATGCCTGTTTACAGAATGGCTTGTGTTACAGTTTCCTATACACATTTGCTGTGGTGCTTTTGCTCTGCATTTACACTTGTAGCCCACCAGTAAAGTAAGCCTTAAAAGCTTTATCTACATAGAACTAATGATGATCTAAAGATCAGCACCCCTGTAACACGCTCTACTTACTGGACAGGCTCAGAGCCTTAACTTCATTCATTATGGGAGAAAACAAGTGTGATCCTATGAAGGGTGTACTCTAAATAGATCTTTTGTGTACTGCTGAGCTTTGCAGCATCTGACACCTCAAATTTACAATGTAACTCAGTAGAGCAAACAAAGCACAAGATTTATTAACGCGGTGCATTTTCTGCTACCCTGGAGGAATGGCACTCGCCTGACAAAGAGCCACTTCACTCCAGGAAGCCCCACAGAGACGAAATGCGTTTAAAGCTCAGTTCTGGCTGTAGCACCTGACACCCCGGCAGGGGGTTGTAGAAGCAACCAAGTGAGGAGCAGTTCCCAGAGGCCTGACTCAGGCACAGGAGCTGAATTCTCCATATTACTGTGGACAGTCTGTACCACTCCTCTGGAGCAACAGCTCTGGTCATATGGGATTTTTGAGATACCACAGAGCCAGGTTAGCAGCCCCTTTCTGTAGCAGATGGGATCTAGCCAGAGTATCTCTACTGGGTTTGTAGGCAATTAGGTGCAGTGTGGAGCGTGTTTATGGTTCATACTGCTATTCACTGGAAATATACTGGGGGTAGCTAAATGGACTAGCCTCAGTACTAGAGGCAGTTTAGCTGCAGCAGCACCCAGCTCTGTGCAAGAACTAATTTACAATCTGTGCTGTTTCCAGTAGTTATGCTGAATTAGGCATCCCTTACTGCTCAGCAGTCTCAGTATTGACATATGCTTAGGCCACAGCTGTGTAATACAGTATATCTGGCTGTAGGGCTTTTAGAACCAGGTGAAATTGTTATGGTCACAAAAGGCAAAGTGCTAATCCAGTATAAATTTGCTTTGCCAGCATGAAACTCTTCAAATATCTTTTGCAGATTGTTTGAAAAACAAAGAGCAGCTTTTATCCAGGACCAAAACTCATTTGGCCTCCCACGGCCAGCCCAAGCTCTGTATTGTGTGCTTCGGCTCATTCAGCAGAAATGAGATTGTATGCCTGTGCCTTATCTGAATGAAATCTGTAGCACTGCATGGTCTGACAGTAAACTAATTTGGTTTTAATCAGCAGGGAAAGGTGAGTCTGGAGCAGCTCTGAGGCTATTCTGCTACGTCAGAAGCTGAACTAAAATCTGGAGTCAGGGACCCCTGTTTTTGTTGAGCTTTGGGGCTTCTGTCTGTGCACAGTTTCAGTATAACAGCTGGGTCGGATTCTTCAGTAGTGCCAGGGATCTACAGGCAGAGAGATCCCAGCTCCACCACTTCCCCACATCCCTCCTCTGTACAGAGCTACAGCAACTATTGTCTCAAACCTATGGCAGCAAAAGATGAAGCTGTCCATGCTCTTCCCCGATAAAGACTATCTTTGAGTCTTTCTGCTGAGAAGCTCCCTTCATGAGTGTGTTGGCTGGAGCCTGCTCTATCATGAGAAACCTAACACAAGGCTGAAAGGCTCAGAAGGCTGTAGCTTTTGTCTTAGCATCAGTCAGTGCTCTGTGGTCTATGTGGAGGCAAAGACTCTTCCATGTGCTGCCCTCTCCATCACCACACCCTAGATGTGCTGAGGCTTGGCAAAGGCACGTGAGCACCTAAGGATCAGGGCCACACAGTTGCAATGGTGCTTTTAGATGGTTAGGCCAAAAGAAAAAATGTGCCGAAGTTGTGTAAATACAAATAAGTTACTGTTCACTCGGTAACTTCATTATCTCTGCTCTTTGAGTTTTAAACCAGAGAAAGTAACCAATGTGCTTTCTCCAAGATAAAAGCACAGAGGTAAATTCAGCCTAGCATCCACAGTGATTTCTCTTGGCAGATTTTTACACCCTGATATTGTGAAGCGGGAAGCTGATATAAACTCAGCTTTCCCCAGAAGTCTCCTAAGGGCCTTGCTGAGGGCACGCGCCAGGGGGTGGATGGGAGAAGGGTGAGAAGCTCAGTGACAGGCCTGGGGCTGCTGCATTCTGGCTCTGGGAACTCCCAGCCCCTGCCTCTCCACATTTGCCTTGAAGAAATTATTTCTCCTCAGCTGAGAAGCTGACAGCTGGGAACTGTGAACTGCTATTTCTGACACAGGCAAGATCCCACCTCTGAGAGATGGACGGGTTCATGCCAAGCCTGGAGCACTGATGCTTGCTTCTCTAAGGAGCTGTTCCATCCTCCTCAAGACTCAGTAGCTGCTGCTTCTTACAGAACTGCCAAGTTTGGACTATTTCTCCCCAGTTTTTTATTTTCACTGCCTTGCTATGTCCACTGTCTCCTTCCACTTCCAGCAGCAGTGGTTAAGTTGGTCTTCCTTTCGTGTTTACCCAGCTTCTCTTCTCAAGCATTTGAAACATGCCAACATTGCACTGCTTCATGGCATTACCCAGACCAAGGAGACACTAACATTTGTCTTTGAATACACGGTGAGTTGATCTCTTTCTAGCTTCCTGTGGAGCTAGTACTGGGAAGTACTGGGAAGTGGCTGCATAATGAATTTACTGCCTCATGAGACATCTACAAAGAGATGAGTTGTAATCCTTTAGTGCAATGATTGATTTTCCTTCTTGATCTCCTGCGTTCCAGCCACACAGTCTTACTCTTTTCTTTCTGCATATGCGACAGCTGTATGCAAAAATGATTCCACGTCTTGTCTCAACTAGGGTGGCAGACACTATTTACCTCCATTTCTGCCTTGACAACACAATAAAAGTACTGTTCTTGAGCCACAGCAAGGACAGGAAATAATGATGTGAGCTCACATCCCAGCTGGGGTCAGATTTGGCACTGACCCCAGCGGCTCATCATGACCAAGCTGCAGGTTGCTCTCATGGTGTCATGGTTTCACATTAGAATGTGCTGGTTTTGGCTGGGGTAGAGTTAATTTTCTTCATAGTAGCTAGTATGGGCTATGCTTTGGATAGCTGGAAACAGTGTTGATAATACAGGGATGTTTTAGTTGTTGCCGAGCAGTGCTTACATGGAGTCAAGGTCTTTTCCGCTGCTCACACCACCCCACCAGCGAGCAGGCTGGGGATACACAAGAAGTTGGGACACAGCCGGGACAGCTCGCCCCAGCTGACCAAAAGGATATTCCATACCATATGACATCATGCTCAGCATATAAAGCTGGGGGAAGAAGAAGGAAGGGGGGGACATTCAGAGTGATGGTGCTTGTCTTCCCCAGTAACCATTACGTGTGATGGAGCCCTGCTTTCCTGGAGACAGCTGAACACCTGCTTGCCGATGGGAAGTACTGAATGAATTCCTTGTTTTGCTTTGCTTGCGTGCATGGCTTTTGCTTTACTTATTAAACTGTCTTTATCTCAAGCGGCTATGTGATGCTTAGTTGCCAGCTGGGGTTAAACCATGACAGTCTTTTTGGCACCCAACGTGGGGCTCGAAGGGTTCAAGATAACGACAGATTTGATTGGAATGTGCTATATCGAATTTATAGCTGTTATTGCTGTTTAGCTATTAATTGGCAGGCTCCTGTGCTTGCCATGGGGCTTGCTTGCCTTACTGTATATTAGAGTCTAGCGCTCATTAGTGGCTGCTTTTTGCTTTTGCTGCTTGCTGTACTGCAGTACTGCTTGTCGTCTTACTCTGCTGTGCCTGGGAACATTTTGATAACAGCAATGGCCATGCGCCTGGGCTGGCAGGTGGCCAGGGCATCGCTGCTGGT